TTACAAAGACTATGAAAATGTTTATGACACACAAAAAATGATGCAGGCTACAAAACTCTGTATACAGCAGTTTGCAAGCCCATAAAGAAAATTCCTCTGCATAGGAAAAAGGACTGGAAGGATAGTCACCGAAATTTTAACAGAGATTATTAGTTCCTTTGCTGATATTGTGGATGTTTTTCTTGTATATTTCTCTAATTTCCAAAACATTTAAAATGCATATATTATTTCCATATTTAAAATATTTTATTTATTTAATTTTATTTTTTATTAGTTCCAGGTCATATTTAAAATATTTTAAATGATTTATGAATTTATAGAAAAGCACTTGTGATTTAACAATAGCAGAGTATAAATTTTATGTCCACTATAATTGTTAAAATACACACAAAAAAACCAATAAACATGCAAAGAAAGAAAACAAAATGTTAACCATAAAAGGAGTTAAAGGCTAATCCTACAGCTAAGAGTCTAATAAATCTAAGAGCCATTTAGATTTGAAGATGGGTGTGTTAGAGGCTCTGAGTGGAAAATTACAGCCTTTCTATCAGAATAACAAAACCACCACGTGAACACCTGATTCAAGATGTATTAGACCTTCGGTGAAAGGTAAGTATAATTAAAATATTCTCTGGTCACATACTAGAGGTATTAAAAAGAGAATATTTACCATTTTTCCTTAAAAAGCTAACTAGATTGCTGCCCAAACGTTCCAAAATATTAATGTTCATGGAAAAGAGAACGAAGTGAAGAGAGCTGAAAAAGCCCTCCAGTTTCCAGGACTGCTCACGGTGCTCTTCCAGGGTCAAAGGAACCACTTCGAGGCCCATGGTGTGACACCCCAGCTTCTAAGGTAAATGACTCCTCTCCACGCCTGTTCTCCTATCCCATGGCCCTCAGTCTATGCTCACATTTTATCTGTTGACCACAGCGTTCCACCACCAAAACACAATGATGTCCACTCTAGGTAGGCAGAATAACTGCTCCCAAAGACGCCACACCCTAAGCTCCAGAATTTATGGATATGTTGCCTTACATGCCCAAAAGGGACTTTGCAGATGTGATTAAGGTTAAGGTTAGGGACCCTGGACTAGGAAGATTATCCTGAATTATTCAGGCCCAATTTAATCACAGGAGTCCTTAAAATCAGAGAATCTTTTCCTGCGGTGAGATCCAGAGAGATGGCAGTGTGGCAACTCAGTCCACTGTTGACTGAGGGACTTTAAAGATGGAGGGAGA